AGGTTTATTAAACAGAGACGTTTTTATGCCAGCTCAAAGAACTTCATATAGCTAAACCATGGTTCTTTGGAATGACATAAAAATGATTATACATTTTTACAAACCATTTTCAAAATGTAGTATTGCATTGAAGAGGTATTATAATAAAACAAGAGATAAAATATATAAAATATGTTTTAAAAAAACAGAAAATGATAGCATTTACTGTTCATGGCATTTACTTTCCTTACACTTTCCAAGTAAATTAAATTTTAAAAATATCTATACAAGTTTTATCTTGCCAATACTCAAAGACAAATGTTATCATTACTGTAGGAAGTGTTATTTTGTATGGGAGTGTACTTTCAGGCATGTGTAAAAAATTACTCATTTGGCAAATCAGACCCCATATTGTAATTATAATTTATCATTATATATCCAAATAATTATCAGCAACATTTGTTCTCAACGCCTGCTAATAAATTTAGGTGCTCAATAAATGAATACATTTCTCTTTACTATTTCCATTAATTGGAAGTGATATTTTATGTATAATATGTTAAGGAAAACAATATTAGAATTGTCCTTTCATAAACTGATAATTAGGTTTAATTGTAACACAATTACCAATTCAAATTAACATTGTTCTCCCAAAAGCAGCAACTGTACGCATTCAAGTATTAATGGAATTTGTCTGACAAACTGTACTCTCCAGGTCAATTGAACAAGATATTTTACTTGTGGGAAAGTCTTAAAAACCCAACTCTGGGCAGCAGTATACCCTTGCAGTCCCCCCCCCACACACACACACCACCCAACTGCAAGGGTTGAATGCTTAGTTAGTCTAGATTGAGAGGAATAAGCACTAATTCTTACTACAGTCTTGGCTCTTGAAGACTTCCTCCCGGCTGCAAAACCAAACCCAAAGGCTTTTCTATTCTCGAGCATTCTAAAGTCATCACCTACATTGCAAGACCAGCAGTTCTTGCATTGTATTGTATATAAGGATAGTGAAAGTACGTCTACATAGCATCGGAAAGCATAATTTTGCCCCTGTACAAAGAATTAGGAAGACCTCATCTGGAATATGTAGTTTAGTTTTGGGCACCTGATCACAAAAAGGATATCGGGGAACTGGAGAAAGTGCACCATGTATGACCATAAGTGGTCCATATTGCGAACTTGATGTAGAGTTATTCATTATAAGGTCATCAGAAAGGACAAGGAGACAATCTTTAGAGCTGGAGGAAAAAGAGATTTAACCTCCATTTACAGAAAAGCTGTTTCCCAGTAAGAGCTATGAAAATGTGGAATAGACTCAATAACTAGTTCTGATTGGCTCAATAGTTAATAAATAATAATAAAATGTATTATAAAAATAATAATAAATAGTTAAATTATTAGATGTTTTAAAAAGGAGATGGGTGCATTCCTAAACACACAAAATATAACTGGATATTAACATTGATACGTAATACCACCCGAGGCTTGTTCATCCAGGGAACATTTGATTGCCTTCTGGTGGAGGAAAGAATTCATTCTTTGCTCTTGCTGGAGCAAAATTGGCCATGCTTTATAGAGCTTTTTTTGCTTTTTATTTATTCTGTTTAATTTTTTTTTTTATTGGATGAAAATGATAGACTTGTATCTTTTTTCAAACCAAATATGTAATTATTTTATAGATAAAGTTTGAGGTATTAGCCAAAGCTGAAATAACAGCTAAAATTTGTTGCTCATGATAAGCTATTTGAACAATACATTTTTCGTGTTTTGAACAGAGTTCTTACTTATTTTCAAAAGAATGTCTTTGTAACCACAGAGTCTATAGGAAAAAAAAATAATTCCATTCCACAGTCTGAAAATGTACAGTAGCTACCATGACAGGATTATAAAGCAAATTTCAGTGCAGGGATTATTAAATGAAAAGGTAAAGGAGTTACTGCAGAAAAAAGTCATGCTTGTGCGTATAAAAAAATACATTTTTAATTTTTGTAATTTTGATTATTAAAAAAATCATCAATAGACCATAGTAAAAATATAATTTATGCATTAAATAAGTGGCTTGATTTACATTTTTAATTTATTTTAAAAAATAGTGTAAATCTTTAGACCATAATATTTGCTCATAAATAGGTATGAAAAATACATAATATAAAAGGGACAGGAAAATATACTTCTGAATAAATAGTTCAGTAGTTGTTCATAAAATATATACATCATTAGTGCACCTATTCTTGTGCATTCAGATACTGTTGGCAGTTAAGGTCGCCTCTGTTTTCAGGAGAACCTGGAATCTTCTTTCCAGTTATTGGATAAACACACCAGCATTTTCCACGTTCTCCATCTAAAGCAGTCTCACACTAAACAAAATAAAGAGTAACATAATCAGTACAAGTTGCCTAGTAAAAGTTAAAATAATCACTATTTTAACAATAATATGATTATTATTCTATCCCACTACTTTTGGTCCCTTAACAAGTGGGAGGCACATATGCAAACTGTTGTAATTCCTACACCGTTCACCTGATTTGGATGTAAATACCCTAAAAATTAAAGCTGACAGTCTGCAGTTAAAGCACATCTTGTTCGTTTCATTGCAAAACCATTGTGGTGGTGTATAGAGCCAAAAATGTTAGAATTGTGTCGATGTCCCAATATTTATGGACCTGACTGTATACTGCTGTAAATTGATATAGTAATTTGCAAAGTTGATATCACGGGTTTACCTAAAGATCATGGGGCCCCATAGCAACCTTCTTACTGTCTTTGATCCTAACATAAAGTATGTCTCTATCAAGGAGAGGTAGCAGGATAGCTGTTACCATGTCAGTACATTACTAGGAAGCAGTACTGTGGACATTTGTAATGTACAGCGCTGAGCGAACTGTTGGCGCTTTATAAATACTTCATAATAATAATAATAATAATAATAATAATAAAAATATGTTATAAGGGATGGGGAATTTACTTTTAACCTTCATTTTTTAGCTAACCACTCTGTTCTCAGTAGCTCACCATTCTTTTTGAGCATCTCAGATCTCAGGGCCGTAATGTAACTTTTAAGCCCTTACAAACCTATTCCACTGCAACAGCAAGCAAGTGCTGAAAAAGGTGGGCTAGTAGTAAGTTCAAAAACAAGGACAAGAGTTGTAGTAGCAGTAATAATGACTATCACAATTTTTTATATTATGACATAATTGTTAATACTTCTGCACACAACCCAACGTTAGGCATTAGGCATACAGGGTTAATGATGGGTTATGGCTGGGATGATCAGGACCTCTGGGGGGCAATAAATCTACACTGCTAAGACAGCTAAACAGGTTCTCTGTACTGCCTGCAAAGGGGGATCTGTGACTACTACTAACAATTCTGAAGTCTTCTACATGTCTGCCATCAGCTGTTCTTGACTGCAAAAATCACAATGGGTACAGGGCCAGTGTCAACAGCAGTGTCATTAGATTTTTAATTTGCCTCAAGCTGAGTTTGCTGCTATAGCTATTGTTATGTTACCAGCAGTTTACACCAGAATACATTAACTTTTATTCAGAACAATATTAGAATGTTACCTGTTTGCTGTGGTAAAACCCATTCCTGTTACAGTTGGGAATGTGAAACCTGTACAAGTCTTCCCCAGTTCTTTGTTGAACTTTTGCCAGTCTGTCCATTGCTTTGTAAAGGTCTTTTTGGCATGGTCCCTAAAAACAATCAGAAAAATATGGATGTTAACTGCAGCAGTCAACTTACATTAAGCAAAGTTGGCCAAAAATGTTCCCTTCAAAGAAGGACATTCTGCAGACTCTTACTTATTTCAAACTCCCCAGTAGTGTCAGATAGCTGTGTCCCCTTCTATACAGTGTAATTCCATCTTCTGCCTCTACATCACTACTGTGTCCTGTAGTGACATCGGTTCAGAGGACGGCAGGGCTGCTGTTAGAAACCATGGAGCCCAATACAGCCAACCTGACAGGTTCCCCTCCAAAAAAAACATAGTTTCCCATGCTTCAGTTACGAATGAACACAGTCAGAGATCAGTGTTGATCGCTCATTGTGCTCATTCAGAAAAGTAAGGGGCTGGTAAATATGACATGTTTACCGGACCCTTCCCCCACTCTCCATCCTGAAGAATCCTTTTGTGTGCTTGTAGCTGTCGGTGGAAAGAAGAGGGAAGCCGGAAGCACTTTGGGGGCACCAGGGGAAAATGTATGGTGCACAAGGAGGGTGATGGGTGCAATGCAGGGGAATTACTAGAACCGATCCCCTATATGGGTCTCTCTGAAGCAGTTGAAAGCAAGTGGGAGAAGGAGAAGCCAGCTTTCAGCTGCTGCAGAGAGAGCCATACAGGGGATCAGTTGCAGCAATTGCCCACCTGGCATGCCATCAACCAGCCTGCCTACATCTGATTCACCCAGCTGCCTGCCCCCCCCCCCCGCTGGCCTCGGCCCCGTACAAGAGGACAGGTGGTACCCCCTTATCCACGGCTCTGGAGGACAGAATAATAATATTCTATCACAGTAAAATTACACTCCAAATTCTGCATTGTGGGAATGTGCAGAAAATCACGTGCTTTCACTTGTGCACAGAAACACACTGCCCTTTGCAGACGCGCAGTGGTGTCATTGATTCTTAATGCACCCCCCACATTGCTTTTCATGCATGCCAAAACACATGGTGCAAAATCACCATTCATTTTGGTGTGGCACAATTTCAAAAAGAGTCAGGAACTTCTTTTGGGCATTTCTCGAAAAGATTTCATTAAATAAATGAGCTGACCTACACCTGACCTGCAGAAAAATGTGAAAAATGACTATGCTCCTTCACACCTACATTGTGTGAATGCACCTCCAAACTGATTTTCACGCCTACAATGTGTGAATGAGACAATGCCTTTGGTGTAGTGATCTTTAAAAGCTTACCTGTGGTTGGTCCTTTGATTTTCTTCTCTCAAAAAGCTTTTTTGCCTTCATGCGTTCATACATAATTGCATTCCAGGCATCAAATTTATCCAAACCATCAGGAAACAATCGGAGGAATGGGGAGAGCTGATCTTGTGTAAGATCACTTCCTTCTGGAGCAGTATTTTCATGTTCTGAGTAGTCCTTTATTTCTAAAAGAGGACACAACAAACAGCAATTACACATAATGCAGTGTGCCTTAATAGTAAGCTGTTATACCATGAAATGTATGTATATAAATGTCTACCACTTTCATAGAAACATAGACAAGTGATCTCAGAACAAGACAAAGTAGTCCATTGAGTATGCCCCCTTTTTTAACCATTTTTATTTTAACCTTTTGCAGATCTACAGTTATCTACGGTTATCCCAAGCATGTTTAGATCAACTTACTGTTAACTGGCTCACTGTCTCTGCTGGAAATCTGTTCTAAGCATCAACTCATTTTCCAGTAAAAATACTTTTTAAGGTCAGTTTTGAACATTTCTCTGCTAGTTTGATTATGTGCCCATGTTCTGGTATTGATGTTAGCTTCGTATTAAAATACTGCCCCCCTAAACACCCTTAATGCATTTAATCCTATCCCCTCTTTCCCTTCTTTCCTCCAGACCGTATATATTAAGCTCCTTCAGTGTCTCTCAGTATGTTTCACCTCTCAGATCTTTCACCGTTTTTGTTCCTTATGAGGTCTTCAAAACTGGAAACAGTATTCTAAATGAGGTCTAACTAAAGATCTGTATAGGTGAACCAGGACATCTTTCCACCTGCTGATGATTCTTTTCATTTTTCCCACAGCTTGGCCACACTGTTTGCTCATTTTCCAATAATTTAAATAAAAGCACCCCAAATCATTTTCCTCTGTAGTTTTGGCCAACCCTGTACCTCCAATATTGTATTCTATCACAGGATAACAATTCCCTAAGCACATTACGTTGCATTTAGAAATGTGCTTTGACCACTTTTTCAAATGTTCATAGTTTTATTTTTCTTATTAGTATATATATATATAGGCAATGTTAGATGCTAATGCTTTGCAGTTCTGTAATTTATACTTACAAAGCATCTTCCGTCGTTCGGGAAAATAATAATTACTTATTAGTGATGCCCAAATAGCAAAATTGTGAAACCCTTTTCTGTACATAAACTTTGGTATTTTTTAAAATGAAACAGACAGAATGTTTCCAACACAGAACAGTTAACCTACCAGGTCTAAAAATAAGCAACCTCAATCGGTATGTAAAAGGAAATGTCTGTAATATTTCCTGGCTTCCTTCCACACAAGCAAAATATTCTCTTGTTTGTACATCAAATGCATGATCAATGCAATAGATTTATTAGGTTAAATATTTAAAAAAAAAATTGTTACTTGTAATCTATTATTTAATTACTATTATAATAGGATGTTCTTGATACTTTGAAGTTTGACAGCTTTATTACCTTAGGTATGCTCTTACAATTTTAAAATTGAGAAATATAATATAATTTGTAATCTGATTTAAAGATATGCAGATAGTCTGTATGATCATACAAACAGGATATTGTGTTTCTGTATTTTATTAAGTAAAGGGTTTTACAATATGTTGGAAATTAAAAAAAAAAAAAAAAAAAAAAATATATATATATATATATATATATATATATAAATAAAATAACAATGATTTAGACATGTTTTCTCTATGCATGTAGAAAGGGGCTTGTTATCATAACTTGATCTTTCACCTCACTGATGCAACAAAGTAGGACACAGGTCAAAAAAACAAGCATCAGTGTTGAGAAATCCGAAGTATGTAATGATCAGGCTATAGACAGTGCAGACAGCTGTCAAAAAACAGATGAAATATTTATCTTTTAACAAAATTGCTAATTTTGATGCATTTGAACTTATTTTGATGATTTTGATGCATGTACTGCAAAATATTACCTGGTTTTAATCCAATCTCTAAAATATTAACATGGAAATTTTTTCAAAACTAAATGAAGTGTAAGAAAAAAGGTAATAATTAAAGATTGAAAAAATGTTTATTTTTTTATCTGGCAAAATGCAGTAAAATTAAAATGAAGCCCAGCTAGGGAGAGAAAAAGGCAGCACATTGTTTCTTTTTAAAATTTGTCAAAATATATCAACAAAATAGATTTTATATAATTATTGTCATCTTCGCAAATTTACAGTCACTATAGGTATACCTCAAGTGTTGTGATGTATATTTAAAGAATTTCCAGATTTTTTTTTTCTATGTCCCTCTACTTGCATTTACATAAAATATATTTTTCCTTTGTTTTGTTTTTTCTATTTAACAAAAATGCTAAATCCTGCTGCTTTTTGCAAAATTAGTAATACATGCCAATTTTTTTTTTTTTAAATATCTACATGCTGTATATATTTTTATGTAGTTTGTTTTTTCCTAGATTGTAAACTCGAAAGAGCAGGGCCCTCGATCCCCTCATGTTTTGCATTGTATTGTATTGTTATTGTTCTGTCACATGTTCTGTCCCCCTTTGTAATGTACAGCGCTGAGCGAACTATCGGCGCTTTATAAATACTGTATAATAATAATAATAATACTACTAAATAATGTTGTTTTTTCTCATCTTACAGTGCTTAGATTTTTTTTTTAAATATCTACATGCTGTATATATTTTTATGTAGTTTGTTTTTTCCTAGATTGTAAGCTCGAAAGAGCAGGGCCCTCGATCCCCTCATGTTTTGCATTGTATTGTTATTGTTCTGTCACATGTTCTGTCCCCCTTTGTAATGTACAGCGCTGAGCGAACTATCGGCGCTTTATAAATACTGTATAATAATAATAATAATACTACTAAATAATGTTGTTTTTTCTCATCTTACAGTGCTTAGATCCAATAAATTGTTATTAAATGAATAAGCATTATTTATAAAATATATTACATCCAAAAAGTACTATTATAGCAAAAAATATTAACACGACATATCTTATATTAGAATGTTGTCTTTGTCACATTTTCTATTTGCGCGTGAAATGTACCTAACATGCATTGCATCATGTAAAATCGTAGCATACAATATATTTAAGTGAAAAGAGAAAAAAAAATTTAGTTTTTTTTTTATGTTGTCATTTCATTAGGCTAAGAAAATAAATGTAAAGTTATATAAAAAGACGGGATTAACAGACAATTACATTCAGAGGCTAGTTTTTATACTAAACATATATCTGCAAAACATCATTTCCAAGTATTTGTACCTTGTGTAAACTCACCTGTAGCATCACTACTTCTCAGCTTCTGTAAGTCGTCTGCATCCATCAGATTCCTTGTCCTCTTGTAAGTGCTTGGAGGGGTCTGGGCTCTCCGGGTTTTTACATGACAACTGAGTGCCTTTCCACACCTAGCAGTGTACACCCCACAAGGCTCCCCACGTTTTAGTGCGCAAGTCAAGCAGCATCCACAGCCTGGTTCTCGTGCCAGTTCTGGGCACTCGGCAGGTACTTGTGGGCAAAGAGCTAACTTCTCTTCAGTGCACTGGGCACAATGCAACGGTTCTGTCACTGAAATCACTACTGCCATAAAAAGCAGAGCGGCTTTTAACAGCCAACTACAGGGACTGATTTCTCTAGCCATTAGCTACTTCAGAAATATTTCTCCCAGAACACTCTAGTCTGTAAGCTGTGTGTAAGATCAGTAGTATAGCTAAGTGACGAGAAGTCTCTGAAACTCTGTCAAGAAGGCTTCCTAAATACTTGTGTGTCAGCTCCGCTCTTCATATATACAATGCATCGCCGGGGGGCATGGGACATTAATGTTTTACCTGAGATTAATCATTAGCCCTGAGGAATTATTTGTAAAACACACTGTGATTGTGACTGCAATGTCTTTGCTTTGGGTGGTCACTACACCCCCTGTAACCTTCCCTTTATACTCTATTGCTTAACAGTGACGCCTAACTGCCTATATCTGCACACAGCAAGTTCAGTTGTCAAAACAAAGCCTGAGAAAAAAAAAAATGTTACAAACTTAGTTTGATTTACAACTTCCTGAATAACAAGGAAATCACATTCCATCAACCTTAGCCCCTCTTTAGAAATGTTCCAAAGTCACCTTTTCAGGCAATGACAGGCTCCATCTTCTAGAGATAACAAGGGGCACTGATTTCAAACTATTTTTTTTTTTTTTCCCAAATAGGATGCGTTTGAAGTGGCATGAGAAGATAATAAACATGTGACGTCTGTTGGCTATACTAACTTGTTTTGGCCAACTTCAAATTCTTTCCTAATCTTTCTACGTAACCAAAGTGTTAATGTATAATAGTCAAGATCTGGCTTCAGAGCAGGTGTACAATGAAGCAAAAGAAAAAAAAAAAAAAACGTAACATATCAGTCTAAATGATTATACAACATATGCATAAATAGAAAAGGCATGAATTCAAATACATAATATAGACAGAAAAACAAGTTTTAAAGTTGGTTAAAGGAGAGGTTCTCCTTTTAGACAAAAATAATCAATTCACATTTTTTTGCAGTTAAAAAAGTGTGCAATTATTATTTTTGTCCAAAGGAACCTGGAAAGCATTGCACCAGCAATCAGTAGAACGCTGATGCCATGCAGGTCTCCTGCAGACCTGTCAGAATATCTGCTTGCTGTATGCAGTGGTGTATTTAAGTTTTGTGCTGCCCTAGGAAACACAAAAATCGCCCTCCCCATCCCCGGCAGATAGAGAGCCTGTCACTGACCAACACTAGTCCCCCCCATGGAGAGAGCCTGACACTGACCAACAACACCCCTGCCCCATTTCCCCTCCCCGCCCGAGAGAGCCTTCCACTTACACCCCCCTCACGGCAACAGAGAGAAAGACACTCACCTTCACAGCTCTAGCCATAACAGTTGGGCTCTGCATAACCATCAAGCAGCCCACAGCCTCTCTGAGATCCCACCTGGTCCCCATGCCGCATATGTCCATTTTTCCAGGGCAGTGCTGCCCCCTTAAAAAATGCCGCCCTAGGCAAATGCCTTGTTTGCCTTGTGGTAAATACACCCCTGCCCAGGGGCGGACTGACAACTCATGGGGCCCCAGGGCAATAGGGGACCATAGGGCCCCTGTTTCCTTGCCCACACTCAAAGCACACCCAAAAAAGCCTATAAAAAGGTACCAGGAGCATTTCATGGGGCCCCCTACTGACCCTGGGCCCTCAGCCAAGTGCTCGAATGGTCAGTCTGCCCCTGTCCCTGCCTGTATGGGATGTACAAGCAAGCATATATTTTGACAGGAAGAATCTATGAACTACCATGGCGGTCCACAGGGCCGTAATAGTTCATTCAAAACTACAAGCCAACAGCCGCTAGGCTGTCAGGACATGCAGTTCATTCATTCATGGAAGTCCATGATTGAATGATGCGGCCATGTGGGCGGAGCCCGGCACAGCCACGCTGTTTTCACATTTGACAGATAGTACAGGAGACTTCTCCCCATACTATCTGTCAGAGGGAGGGGGGTAGCAGACGGCGGCTGTGGCTATGGGAACATGTTGCATGTTCCACCCTAAAAACGGGTGGAACCTGTAACATGTTCCCAAAGGTGAACTTATCCTTTAAGTAATTAAAGCATTTTAAATATTTATACATCCTAGCCACCTCATGTTAAATATTTAAATGTTATTTCATATATTTAATGTACATGTAATAGCATGTCTACTGATCCTGCATGTTGAAGTTCTGTGCTGCATATCTGTGTGGCATACAAATGGGCAAATACTACTTGGAAAAAGAATGTTGTACTACCTAGTTGTGCAACCTAGAACAGTATTAGGTAACCATAGAAGAAAACAAATAATGTAGTAAATAACAAATGCCCATTGCATTTCAATTCACCAATTAAAAAACAGTGATTTAATCGTATCTCCTCATACAACATATTGCTTAAAGTGTTACTAAACCCAGGACTCTGCATTCACTATATCTCGTCTCCCATAGTACACACAACATGGAAATGCAATTATTTTAGTAAATATAAACTGATAAATACCTTTGCTCATGAGCAGTTAGAACAGTCGTGTGACTTCAGCAGAGCACTGTTTAAAGCTTGTAGGAGGAGTTTTCTTTCTGTTCTAGGAGGATGCAAAACTCCTGACCCTCTGCCTGGACAGTGCTTATTGGCTCTGTGCTGATCACATGCACCTTCCCAAGAAGAAAAAACCCTCTCTAGCAATACACACGAAACTGAGCATGTGCATGTAACTACAGATTCAGTCTGTATCAGGAGGGGCAGAGAAGACAGGATCAAACAGCCTTTTTACACAATGCAGAGGATTAACCAGTTAGGTTCCACAGTGAGTATAACAAGCATGCTTTACTGCATATACAGACTGCTTTTACTGTTGTGGGTTTAGTAACACTTTAAGTAAAATAAATAATTGTGTATCAAACAGAAAAGAAAATGGACACCTACTTGTGGCTAATAAAAATATGTATTATTGTAGCATGAAAATAGTATAACAATTATAAAGAAACCTATCCAGTGTGAAAACCTGGGTTATTGTATCCCCCCCCCTTCCTTCTTCTTCCAATACTCTCCTCTGGCCCCCCACTCTGGATTGGAACCAATCAAGTTTGCAAAAACCTCCAGTGCAAAGAGTGCTAAATGCACATATGGACGAATGCTTTACACCATTACCTGAATTAAATCCTTCAAGGGGGTGGATAGGGCTAGCAGCCAGGGGCGGACTGACAACTCATGGGGCCCCTGGGCAATAGGCGATCATGGGGCCCCTGTGTCCTCGCCCAGACCCAAAAAGCCTATGAAAAAGCCAATGAAAAGGTACCAGGGGCATCTCATGGGGCCCCCTACTGTCAAAAATAGTGGGCTTTAATGCACAGCTGCCGCACGTATGCATCATCAGTGGCCTGAGGTCCCCCCCCCTTCCCGAGGCACCCACAACAAAAATGACAGGTGCCACTCAAGGCTCCACGAGGTCCTCTTGCATGACAAACCACTAGGTGTGCAGACAAGGACAAAGCTCGTCCCAGCTCAAAACATCTATTAGGGAGAAGAAGTCCCAAGAGTTGCAAATCATAGCAAAATCCTGTGAGGAGGTGTATGACAGCCACAGCCTGGACTCCACCCAGGCCACGCCTCAACACATTTCACTCCACCCTGGAGCCTAGTCATGTGTCAAGGGGTTAATAACATAAAGTGGTTGATACAATTAAGAATAAAGTGCATATAATAAAAAGTGACTTATATGATAAATATTCTAATAATAAAAACACTGAGTTATATATTTTATTGGCAAACACCTATAAAGTGTAAACATTGTTTTAGAAAAACAAAATAAATCAAACCGTAATGATACCTACATGACCAAATGTACAAAACATGGTTAGCACCCTATAAACTAAGTATAAATGTTTCAAATTAAAAAAAAAACAATAATATTTTGTTACAGCTCTAGCAATACATGATAAAAAGCTGAAAGGTCCAAAGGGAGAGAAGCAATGTTTACCTAAGTAGGACCACTCTGAAAATTGGACAAGTGTGCAGAGGAGGTAGACCAACCACCAAAAATATATATGTGTGTGTGAGCATTTATCATTCTACCAGCTGATTAACCCCTTCACGCCTAAGGGTAAAACAAATCTTAATGCCTAAACACAATTTTGCAACGTTGACATGTGTTAGTAAAACTGTACATATCATCACATCTACTTAGTACATCCAGGTGAATTATACCTTGTTTTTTTTCTGGACAAATTGAGGTTTCGTTTGGTGGTAATTGGTAACGGATATCTCCTGTTTTTTTTTTATTATCAAAGGAAAACTGGCCCAAATAGTAAAAAAAAATATATATTTTTTTTTTCAATTTAGCTGTGTGTTTCTTGTTACTAATATAATCTACCACCAAAGAACAACCAACCCAAAATAAATTTTCCAGCTGTTGGTGATTGCATCGGTACCATATATGTGTATGTTATTTGTTGTTTGTACCTGTACTACAGCCCAGAAACAATAGCGGTCAATTTGTTTTTTTTTTACCTAAAACACACTGAAACTGACGCTGACACAGATACCAATTAAAAAAAAATGCTGACCTTTGACCCTGACCCAATCACTAACCCTGGCACTGAACTAGATCAAACCTTGATCTAGGTATTTATTTTTTATTTTATTTTTTTATATATATTTATTTAATCTATATTTTTTATAAACAGTTTTTTTTTTGCTATGCAAGGAGAGAGAGTATTAATGTATCTCTCTCCTCTATTCAGAGAAAAAAAAAACAAGGGGGGCAGGCTTCACAGTGACTGATCACTGTGATAGCCAATCAGAGGCTATCACAGCGATCATGTGACCTGGAGTCCCTGTTCCCGATCATTAGAACGGGACATGTGGCTCTCAGTGACACTCCGTTCTTCGTGCTGGGAGCGCGCTGTTCAGCGCACTCCCAATACAAAGATAGGAACTCAAATATGCAGCCCCACAGAAAAAAAAACAGTTCTGTGAGGCTGCATAATTGTGTTTTATTTTAATGAAGTTAGGTCAAGCCTATGCTGAAATACTGGTATTGAGCTCTTCA